ACGAATCACTTACATTCTAAGGTTTAAAATCATTCACTGGGCAGAGCCCAGTGATGACTTAAAAGTTGGATTATGAACGCGACAGTTGGTTGCGAAAATGAGGAAGAGTGGGTTTTATGGAGTGAGCGAGCTTTGAAGGAGGATCGTGGCTTCGGCTTGGTCACCTCCTTCGTCCTATTTTAAGTAGTTAATAAACGTTGTTTTGAAATGTGAAAACCTGGATTACATTTTTATCACCCATAATGGCGGATTCGGAAAACAATCCAATCCTGACAAACGATCGACTCTACGAGATATCCGTCCGTTTCTCTCTNGGTTGATATAGTATGACTTTTCATTTTCTCACAATTTGTCTGTCTGACAGTCTATTTCTATCTCTCGCTACTAGTTTACGTATATTTATATATATGTCTACCTATCTATCTGTTCACGTTTTAACATTTTAACTCTTTTTGCTTTCACTCCCTCTTGCTTGTGTCTTTTTTCTCAGCCAGCTTTCATTTCTTTCTCTACTCTTATTCTTACTCTTCTCTTTTCCTATATATCTGTTCCTCACTTTACAGTACTTTACAGTCTCCATTCTCTTTTCTACATCTGTCTTTTTCTATATATTTGTACCTCTCTTTTCACTCAATTCTCTTGCTCTCTTTCCTTCTCTTTTCTGCTTCTCTCTTTTATAGATTTATCTCTCTCTTTTCACTATTTTTAACACACACAACTATCTCTCTCACTCACTCACATACACACAGTGATAGTGAGAAAGTGAGAGAGAGAAATGAAAAATTAATTAGAGTATTGTAGTTCTTGTCGTTTGTGAACTGAATTGATTCTGATCTCTCTTTTGACATCGTTATAGTTGCTTCTGTTGGAATTGGATTTCTCACGTAGAGGTCGTGAATCACTTACTCCTGTGTTGGCAGTTCTCAGTTAGACCTTTGTCTCGTCCTTCCTGCCGTCCCAAGTTAAGCTCCCGGACTCCGACAACAATTATTTCAACCACTCCGAAGCTAGCAAGTTACAAACTGAGCATATAGCCAGAATCGTTAATTCCTAACTTGATACCATTTACTCCAGTCGGGCGAAATAGTCGATATTCCCGTTCACTGCTATATGCTATACAGACCATTTGTATTATATTAATTCGGATTATATTATTATCTTACTTTTAAAAGCTTCTTAGTTTTGCCAGTTCTTCTTGACTTATGTTGGAAATTATCCGCCGACTTTACACGGTAGACCGGAACCTCTTTTATCCGCGAACATTTGGCGAGTTACCATCTCTTAGCTGCTTTAAATGATACAGAGGCATAATTATTAAATCAATGACAATTAAAACGAAGATTTTTTTTAAATATCTTAAAAGTATCAGCTAACATGTTTTTAAAAAACTTGTACAATAAAATTAGAAAATTCATTATTTCATGCAGCCAATATCGGATTATATGGACAATAATTTTGAGATTTTTTCTTAATTTAATTAAATTTTTGGTACCAATAAACAGTAACCTATTCGGTCTTACTCATTAGTTATAACTAATTGTATTCTCAATAGGTGTCTTTATTTACAATTATATTTTTTCTGGAATACACTTAAAATTCGTACTTAATGAAATATATTTACATTGATAAATGCAATTTACAATTAAACTAGTCGATTTGAAAGGTTTTTCAAGCATGGCAAAGATTTTTGTCTCCGGAAAACAAATAGCGCCCTGTAAAGATAACAAAGAGAGTTAAATTTTAACTTAAAGTTTTAATTGAAGTTAAGTAAACCATGGGAAAGAAACGTAAAAACAAATATTAAAGATAAATCGAATACAGTTTACCTCACGAATAGCTAGTTTTAAGTTAAAGTTTTAATTGAAGTTAAGTAAACCATGGGAAAGAAACGTAAAAACAAATATTAAAGTCAAATCTAATACAGTTTACCTCACGAATAGCTAATTTTAGACGAGTGTTAAGTGTTCAAATTAAAAGTAATATTTGGGTGAAAAATCTATTCAATGTACACATTTTTAAAAGGAATAAAATTGTTAATTGGAGCTGTTAAGCTTCTTATTTATGCAAAATCAAAATATGTCAAAATAGAGGGCTTGATCATAACCTAGTGATAGTGTAATTTATTTCTTTTGACATTCTTCATTTGTGCTATAAATTCGATTTTTAGAAACCTTAATAACAGACGAGCAATGAAAGTTTTTTTTCTTCTGACTTTCTTGGTTCATTCTTTCATTCTTTATGCCTTAAAACGATTTAGTTCAAACCGTCTTGAGGTATCCGCAATAACGGTTATGGCCAGGAGTTAAGTACAGACGTTGAAAGTTGGGTCTAATGGGCACAACGACGCTACTTTCACCGCCTTAACCCGCTACCTTTACTGTTATTTTTGGAGTAAAAAGTAAAAACTTTGACTACATAAAAATAACATAACTTTTCTTGCTCAAAAACTTTAAAGCCAAATGGCTTAATTATACATTAAAATACCTGGACCATATAAATACATGTTTAATTATTATAAATAGTTTTTAATTAATATTTTAACAATAATTGAGTTTTTAACGTAAAATTGTATTCTTATTTTAAATCTTTTCTCTTCTTATTTTTATATTTCTTTCCCTTCAAATATGTTGCCCCTCCACAGAGATATACTGCATTACCTATTCATAAAAAGTGATGTTGGAGGACCCAGTGATGGTCGCAGGGGTAAATTCAAATTCCTTTCCCCCAATCTCTGGTATAATCTTCTTTGTTTTTCTTCATGTTTAATTCTATGAAACATGTCTGGTGTTTATGTAGTAAGTGGTATACAAACCAAAGCTATATCAAAGCTAGCTGAAGTTTTTTCTCAGTTTTGTATCTTTTAGATAGTACAACTGGTTAATTTGGTTTACGGTTGGATAATGATCTTATTTGTTTAGCAGATCATTTGGATATGGTACGACAGTCTCTGCCGTAATTTCGGTTTTCTACATCACAACAGAAATAACGAATATTACACTTATTTTAAGCAAATATTTTTTGTCTAGTTTTTACTTGAGTTGGTAAACAACAAGCCAACTAAACTTGCTGATTTAAAAATAGAGAAAATCAACTAACTTAGCTTCTTTGTACTTGACCACGCCAACTGCACTGAGAGGCAAAAAATTGGCACTCCAGTTTTTTTAAAAATAAATACTTTCAATATTTTCAATTTTTACTTTTTGTCGTCTACTGAATAATTTTAAAGAAAAAAAATAGTTGAATAAAAAAAATAAACTGAGCAAAATCTTTGTACCAAAAATATTTCTGTGGAAACAACGAAGAAAATATTCAATTTAGTACGGAGTATTTTCTCCCCTAACTTTCATCACCGCTTGCATTCGATGTGGGGTGGATTTTATGAGTCCTTGAATGTAGTGCTGCGGAATATTTGTATAATCCTCCAACAGCGCCCTTTTTAAATCCTGAAAATTCTCTTCTAAAAAAAATAAATAAATTAAATTAAATAAAAATAAAGCCGTCACCAATTAGTGTCATATAACGGACTTATAGGGAAATAGGGGGCAACTTCTTTTGTTATCACATCTTCGATGTATCGCGCAGATGTTAGGAAACTTTCGGTGATCAAGATGCCCACCCAAATCATAACACCACCACCTCCATAGCTTTCCGGAGTGAAAATGTTGCTTGGATATATTCTGTTCTTCTCCAAACTCTCTATTGCGGTCAGAAGACCACAAACAAAACCTCGACTCATCTGAAAACAAGACTTTAGTCCAATTTTGCTCAGACCAATTGCATTTTCTTGCAAAACATAGCCCAGCTGTTCTAAAGGAAGCAATCCAGCTCTTGAAAGTCTTCGTTTTAGAGTGGCTAAACTGACATTAACATTTCTAACTTGTTGAAGTAGTTGCTTGATTTGAACAGCGGTGGAATGTCGATTGCGTAGAACATTCGAAACAATGAAAATATCATCTTTCGGAAACGTCCCACGATGGCTTTCTTGAGAAACTCCAGTATCTGGGTAGATATGGAAGACCCTTGGGACAGTTGTTCTGGGAATATTAAACACCCTGGCCACATAAGCTTGACTTCTTCCATCTTCCAACAATGCTGTGATTCTAGCCGTTTATGTTACACTTAAAATCATCAGTAAACCAAATTTTAAAGTTAAAAATGGTACAATTTAAAAAAACACAAACCACCGGGACGTTAGAAAGACATTTTACCAAAAAACAACAAAGAAGCGATTATCAATTCAAAGATTTATTTACAAAATCCAGTAAACACAAGAGGGATATTTTATCGGTTTCTAATCCCTTATAAAGGACCAAATATTGTTGTAAAATACTCAATGGTGGATTGTCCAATAGTTAATTAAAAATGTTAAGGGTGGCAACTTTTTTTGTCTTTCAGTGTAGTAGAGTGAAAACACTTAGCCACTCCAACTAGTAAAGTAAGGAACTATCGTACTACGCCCAATCAATAGTACAAGCAACTTAGCCACGCCCAACTAGTAGAGCGAAGAAACTTATCTACGCCCAAATAGTAGAGTCAAAGAAATATCATTCTACGCCCAACTAACAGTACAAGCAACTTAGCCTCACGATGACATGATATGAGTCGTGAAGTAACATTTTCTAGTCAGTTAATTAAAACGGGCACTTATACAATACTGTTTTTAAGAAGTGTAATGTGACATAAGTTATTTAGCCCAATGATTTGTGGGACTATTTGAGAACGTTTTTAGATTTCCATCAATTGTTGTTCTCCTGTCGAATAAATGCAGCATAAAGATGATGTTTTAGCATACGTGAACAATATATCGGACCATTTATGATAATCTGCACAATAACATTAACCCCTTCAAACTAGGGAAATTCCTGAGGTTCAATACAACCGTCCGTCTTGTTATAAATAATTTTATTGGTGTCTTGTTTTTATATTATTATTCAATAAGATAAAAATAATGTTAATACTGTTATTTTTGAGTTAACGAAATATTCGAATTTTTGTTCTAGGGACCTGAGATGCTTGCGGAATACGATACACACGAACCTTATGTGCACTTACATTTTAGCCGACTTTTTATGGATCCTTAACTTTGCACTGCAGGTAATTACAACACACGCGAGGTTTAGCGTTTAAATTTATGCTAAAACTCTTAAAAAATGATGTGATTTGCGACATGAGTGGCGTGCCGTTTACACGATTCATTTTCATCCCTTGAGGGCGCATTAATCTTTCACTTGCCGTATTTTCATCCCGGTTAGCTTGCAAAGCTCGGGAAAGTTTGTCGAAATTGATTTTCCTAGAATGGCCTAGGATACACGGCTAGCTAGGAAAAGTTGCCCGTCCATTTTATCCCTTATTGCAATAATCCTTTAAGCCTCACACTGGGATTTGCATAAATTGAAAATTAATCCCGAACTTTACGTTTCAGATCTTGGTGCCTAGCGATTTCATTTGCGTCGTCTTCGTTCTCCTCCTGAAATATTTCATCCTCACCAACTACTTCTGGATGTTCGTTGAAGGTACGAATTACATTTTATTTCAAATTTGTTAGTAAAAAAGTACTTAACGAAGTTTTGTAAGTATTGTTTTACTTCTGGCAAGCAGTGGCATTTTTGTTGTTAAAATTCTACAATTTTCACTATCCCTTGTCGAAGACGTACGTTACTTGAGATTTCACCTGGACAAACGACTTACTTATAATCCGCACATAAGACTAAAATGATACAAACTAAACATAGATACAAAATCACCACAGCTCGACAGCCGATAGAAACTTACGAAAGATTAGTATACACCACGGTTCTCAAATCTATGTGGACTTATGGTACCGAACTCGGGGGGGGGGGGGTCAACCAAGCATTCGAAGCCCCGACACATTCAAAGATTCCATTCATCTTAAGAAAAATTGTTAGCCTTCTTGTTTTGTATTAAACCTCACCGTGCACCCAGACCTTAATGGTCATATTAACCCTCTTTGTTCCAGAATTAGCAAATTCCATTAATCCATTTCCACACATCCCAATGCCTTGGTCGGTCAGCTCAGTTCCTCTACCAGCCCAGATAATCATTTCCGTCGACTGAGACGCCGATGGCCACGTGATGCCCTACGTAGTGACGAAGAAAATTGAAAAAGTAATCATTAATTATTTCTTCTAAAGGAGGCTCACCATTGGGTGATTTCTCCTCACGTGTTTTTCATGTCAATTTTGTTCTTACAGATTTTTATCGAAGTAATTATTTATGTAGAAATCCATAGAAAGAAAAGATTTTATAGACTATTTTTATATTATCACAAATTTCAAATCGCAATTTTCTTCTCCAAAGCAATGGAGCTGGTATTTTATATTACATTATATTTATTGGTTAGAGACATTGGTTAGCCATTATTCCTGAACATATTTACAATTTTGTCTTTGTAATTCTTATCTTTATTCTCTCAGTGAAATTGAGGAGCAAGATGAATTAGGTCAAGAGCAATATTAGTCTTCTTTTCAAATTAACAGAAAAAAAATGCAACAACCTATCTATTGGTTGGTATGTAGTACCGATTCATGACTAAGTTTCCATTACATCTAAAAATGAGAGCTTCCTTTTCTTCCCAAAAATAAATAGTTTAACAACCATTTTAGGAAACCAGTTCAAAATTAACGTCAGCTAGAGCTTCTCTGGGAGGTTTTGAGGTCTTGACAAACTTACTCAGAGTTCCAATGTCCAGGCTCAACGTTCACTTCGGAGCGAAGTCTTAGATGTCTTGGATAAGTTCCTCAGCGTAAATTAGCAGAATGTGCTGGTGGAATAAAATAGATCAAATAAAAAGCAAACGTATAAATAACATCCTTGACCAGAAAAAGTGAAAAAACTAAAAGATGAGCCGTCAGTTTGATAATGGCAATAAAGCGAAACCAAAAACGAATAAAACAAATAATTGGTACTTACGATTTAAACTTATTAAGCAAGACCAGAAAAACTCCCAGGAGAAATCTCAAACGCCGAAACCGAATCCCGATGCTCTCTGATTGAGTATGGAGTATATGTTATGTGCCGATAATATCGTTCCAATCAAATATTTCAATTTGTCTTTTTTGTAAAAATTGTAGCTACAGTATTTATTTTGGTATCCAAAAGGTTTCTAATTAAGAATACAGCTCGATACGTCAGCACATCAAATTACACAGAATAATTTCAACAATTGCAATTTCAAGAATACAGATACTCGGTGACCATAAATTGTCTTGTTCACTGATATTTTCTTACAAAGAAGCAACTTACCCCTCTGAATGGTAATTATCCTAATGAGATGTTAACCTAGTTACAAGTTAATTTAAAGGCGCCGTCGCAACGTCTTAAAAACCAGTGGACAAAAAAACATTTCAAGCTTCTCAAACGTCCTTAAATGCTCTAGGCTTCCGAAAACTAAAAATTAAATTAAATTAACTACATTATTAACAAAAGTAGGAAAAAAAAGGAAAGATATGTATTTTTGTCATGTTAACTGTTTTAGTAAATAAAATCTAACTTTATACATGAGAGAGGGAGAAAGAGAGAGCATGAGAAGGAGAAAAAAGAGAGAGAGAGAAACATTACAACAAGACAGAGTAGGTGGATAAAGAAAGTGTCAGCTATATAAAAAGATTTCCTGTTTTCCGAAGGTGAATATCGCCTGAGAAATCACCCAAATGATTCTGTTCCCGTCGGAAGATATTTATTTATATGGACATCCCGCATAGTCTTTGCACTGCAATTTGAACCGCTGAACGATTTTCACGTCTGTCGACAATCGCATGGAACTTTGATCAGCAAATTATCGTTCGCACTTTGCAATACGACACCGATTTTCAACGTTGGAAGGGGATAAACTTGTGCAACTAGACAATTCCAGTGTGAAGAGCGTAATAGACTTCGAATTAATCACTCCCCTTCAAATCTTGCTGCTGTGTATTAAAATTTTTAAACAGAAAAACATTTGTTCAACCAATCAAAAACAAACTTGCCGTTAAACAATCTGGTAAATGTATTTTAATATAGAAAATTGTATGAACTGAAAATTGTTATCGTAGCAATGATACATTTAATAAAAAAATGTAAAAAACTAAAACAAAATCTAAGCAAAATACGCAATTATCTATACAAAAGAGAGAGAGAGAGAGAGAGAGAGAGAGAGAGAGAGAGAGAGAGAGAGAGAGACAGACAGACAGACAGACAGACAGAGACAGAGAGTAAGCGAGAGAAGAGACAGAGAGAGACAGAGAGAGACAGACAGACAGACAGACAGGCAAACAGACAGAGACAGAGAGTAAGCGAGAGGAGAGAGAGAGAGAATGAGTAAGAGAGGGTGATAAGGAATGAGAGAAAGAAAGGGAAGTTGTGAGACAGGTAGTGGAATGATGGAGAGAGAGAGAGAGAGAGAGAGAGAGAGAGAGAGAGAGAGAGAGTAAGTGAGAGAGTGAGAGAAGAGGAAGAGAGAGACAGATAAAGAATGTTAGATGAGTGTCTTCGTACAAGAGACGGAGAGAGAGCAAGAGAGAGTGAGAGAGAGAGAATGATAAAGAGACAGGAAGTATGAGGCAATATGTATTAAGATGGTTAGAAAGACAGAGAAAAGCAAGGCATATGTAAGAAAGCAAGAAGAATAACAATAAACATAAATAAATCCATAAAAAGTGAACGGCTAAGATTTTGTAGAATCTACTAAAGAGAGAGAGAGAGAGAGAGAGAGAGAGAGAGAGAGAGAGAGAGAGAGAGATCCTCCTAAAGAAAGAAAGAAAGAAAACTTCATTATTTCATGGAAACAGGTTCCCTGAATTATCACAAAACAAGAAATACAAATATATAAAATAGGTTTATGAGCGATGGAGCAATAATTCAAAATGGAATGGAAGAATAATGTAATGCAAAGAATGCAATAATATAATCGAGATATAATAGCAATAATAATTTATATATAACAAATACACACATACATATCCATATACATACTTATAATAATAAACAACAAATTGTAAATATAATAATAGAATATTTATACATATAATACCAGTGTAATACCAAATAAAACATATATAAAAAACTGGAATAAAAACAAAACATTTTTTTTATTTATTTAAAGAAAATTTATTTTTTATTTATTTTTTTAAATTAATTAATTGATTTTTGCTTCATTTGTTTTATACAACTGTCAATTTTTTTCTCAACAGATAGTTTTGTATGAGGTATTGTAGTATTGTAATAATAATAATAATAATAATAATAATAATAATAATACCTTAAAAATTAATAATAATAATAATAATAATAATAATAATAATATAATAAAGTGAACATAAATGTACTCAANTGGTATGTAAGACCGACAATATTGTCCCAGTGAAAACGGCAACCATTTATGTGTAATGAGTCTTTTCTCAGAATGCAGATAGTGTCCGGTTTCATTTGCTTAACGTTCCTTCGTAGCTGTATAAGTTTCCTTATTTTAATGCGAGTGCTATAGCAAAAATCTGCTGATATTCTCCATTTCGTGCCTTTTAGTCTTGGGGCAGATTTAAATATTTCCCATTTATCCGATTTAAAGGTTTCACAGCTGCAATCTCAAAGGATTTAGACAGCTGTAAAACTTCTGCCATAAAAGAGCCAACAATTTCTTCAAGGTTGTCATCGCTTTTGTAAGATATACCGTAAAAAATTGAATTATTTCTTCGGCAAAAATTATCCAAAGCTTCCACCTGTCTATCACGTCTTCTATCTACTTCAGTTAGGCGGGCAACTTCATTCCTCAGCTCCATATTTTCGTTTTTCAATGTTTTGATTTCTTCAAATATTCTATCAATGCTTTTCTTCAATGTATTCAAGTCCTGTTTTGTAGGTAAACAAGAGAACTTTTCATCTATCATTAGGCTAAGTTTACGAACCAAATCATTACTCGGATCACTTACTGACGAGGCAGCCGTTAGAGACATCTTTGGAGCTTTTACACAGGAATGAAAATCCGGGCTTGACGATCCAGGCGAACTTCTTGGGTGTTTTGAGGACTTAGGCGTCATTTGCATTACGTAGTTCGTAGATGTGGTGGAGCAGAAATTGTGTCAAGCTTTAACGGTAGTCTTGGAGATTTGAATGTTGACATATAGCAGTCAGCTGACACCTCCTATATCCAGGTCTTATCCAAGGTCAAGACAGGCTGCTTGTTGTTTGTTTTGTTTTTGGTGGCCAGTGTCACTGCCCTGAGCCTAGGATGTTATCAGACCGACCCTTGTACCGGTTCCACAGTTAGCACGGCAAAGATACAAGTCCAAGAAATTGAATAATTTCACAATTAAAGGACTTACTGTGGGAAATGAAGCTATGTAATCCACTCCAGTTAGAGAGGATTCTCTAAGGGAGACCTCTGCTAATCTTTTGCTCACAGAAATCAATTTTTTCCGCTAGAAAAAGCCAAAGCCAACAGGGAGCACATTAACATGTCCGCACACGATGACACCGTTCCCACCACATTCTTGTAGTATTGTATGAAGTACATATATTGCGTTTTTAAATGTTTGTAGGTGTTTTTAATATCAGTGAGAACGGAGTTTCACAATTTGCAGGAATAGAGATGGTTAGATGCAGGGAGGGAGAGAGAGAGAGAGAGAGAGAGAGAGAGAGAGAGAAAGAGAGAGAGAGTGAGTGAGTAAGAGAGGGTGATAAGGAATAACGGGAAGAAAGGGAAGTTGTGAGACAGATAGTTGGATCGTGTAGAGAGAGAGAGAGAGAGAGAGAGAGAGAGAGAGAGAGAGAGAGAGAGAGAGAGANGAGTGAGTGAGAGAGAGAGAGAGTGAGGGAGAGAGAGAAAGAGTAAGAGAAGGGAGGGAGGAAGAGAGTGATAAAGAATGATGGATGAGTATCTCTTACAAGTTTTAAGTGTGATGTACGAAATAGTTGGATGGTGTAGAGAAAGAGTGAATGGTAGAACGGGGGAGAGGGTGAATGGGTCAGTTTTCTAATGAAAGCAAGAACAACAATATACACACAAATAAATAGATTAGAGTTAAATAGCTATAGAGTAAAGATATAAAGAAAGATATAAAAAGTTTAAAAGACATATAAAGATAAGTAGAGCTAGTTTTACCACAACGTATTTGAATTTGTTTAGATTTATTTATATTCGTTTCATTTATTGTGACTGTATTTGTGGAGGACTAATTATTACAAAAAGATTTTTTTAACATGTGAAATCCAAAAGAGATCGTTTCAAAATATAATTGTCCCAGTCTCCCCAATAACCAACGTTGGAAGGGAAAAAAATCTAGGCTAAAATACAAGGAAATAAAATTTTTGTTTGTTTAATACCGAAAACAGGTTACACCACAAACTTCCTATAAATCTAATAATTCCTTCCACTCAGAAAAAAGTCCCTGCTCCCTGCTCGAACCAAAAGACTTGTTCTGAAATCCCCTGTCGCACTCCTGACACCCTGATATAAATCCCTTCTAGTGGTATAAAAGTAGATTTTCGTAACGGTGGGCAGCCACCTGGTCCGAACCCGAAAATCTCCCAATAACGCGCACACAGGCTTGTGTATTTTCTTACTTTGCCTACCCAATAGTAATTAACAGGAGGGAACCCATTAGAAATCTGTCTCTTTTTCTTATCGGCTGAATAAAATGGATCTAGATTTTAGGTCGTCTAAGAACGTAATAAGTTTGGGGTAAAATGAACCAGAGCATTTTAAACCCATATTATCCGCGTTAAGTGGAAAAAGAATCATCTTACAAGGCCTTAGAGTTTGTTTACGCGGCTAATATCAACAAAGTTTAGAAATATGTACTACGAATATTACCCATTTCTACTTGATCCAAAGTTTTCAAGAACTTTTGTGCGCATGTCCATAATAAATAAATCAAATAAATTTGCAAATTGTTAAACAGGTTAAAAACTAATGTTAGTTGTTTTATATATTATTTTATTTTATAATTTTTAGAATATTAACGTTAATAAATTTATTAGTTTAAAGGAGTCCGCTAACTTTTTTTAAAATTTCATTACTTTCTTTTACCTTCGGCCGCAATTTTATTTCATTAACCTAAAAGTTTTGTTTGAGTAATTTTAAAAGTGGGTTTTCTAGAGAAGAAAATAATGTAGGTGAAATACCACGTCCTAGGTCGAGTGAAATAATTTTGCCCCCACGACTAATAAAATTTGTGTTGTCACGTGGAATGACTCCATTTCTATTCAATATGCAATCATTTTTTTCGTATCTTCGTTTAGCTTGTCAAAAAAAGAGTATTTGATGGAATAGATATTTTTTATAATTCTTAGAATTCCCCAGACGATTGCAAAGGAATCTTTCCTTTTTCAATTCCAAGGGGAAAACATTTTTTATGGTTATCCACTCTGTGCGAGGATCATGGGTTACGAATACTGTATACTGTTACAGTCATCTGCGGAAAACTTCATTATGTCAGTGTAGAAACATTTAAGATTGTTTTACCTGATGATGACGTTAATATAGGTCGAGGCCTGATTAACAATTTAATTGGCTTTCTCATCAAGATCATCCAGAGTATTCTTAGTAGGAAAAGTGGTAGATACATCTACCACTTAACACAGTTTCTTGATTTACTCGTTATGTTTAAAAATTGGCACTTAAGGTCCGGAAAATTGAGGCATTTTTACATTCACTTGAATTGACCACCTCATTCTAAACTCCTGTAAGTCCGATAGGTACTTTCGAATACAAAGTAGAAGTGGGTGTTCCGCAAGGCACCATCATTCGTTCCATTCTCTTTCCAGTATACAGTGCGGACGTGCACATATGGGGACAATACCGCTACCCTTAAAGCCAACTCAGACCCAGTAGTGGACTTCAAAAACTCCATACTTATCCAGTATGAGTATGGAAGAATGCTTCAAGGAAAACTTTCACCCTTCGCTCAATATCATCTCGTATTATTTACTATAACACTTTTCCTCTCCAGCTCCCAAGGTCGTCTGCTATTTGGGATTTTACATCAACAAAGACTTACTTGGAACTCTCACTCTCTACTCAAAATAATAGATTTGGTCTATTCAAATACTATCAGACAACAGATAGAAACTCTTACTAAATAACACAAATCTTTTTTTTTTTACAACCAGTCTGGACGTATGGAATTGAACTGTGGCTTCAAGCGTTCCCATCTCCATAAATCTAGCCACTCCAGCCAAAATTCCTTCAAACCTTACTAACCTTGCAGACTTCTAAATCCAAATTGTCCTCAAAACGGCAAAAAGTCGATACAGACACTTTCATAAAACACTGGATCCTCATCGCAACCCCCTAGATTAACACTTTTCATCCAGAATCCTTCCCGCCCAGACATCAAGACGCCTAAAGGAATAGGAGAGTAATAATTCGGTTACTTCTGCACTCTTCTAGACTAAGATTAAATAAAAGCAACCAAGTTGTTCGTAACTTTACAATTTTAGCACAGTTGTACCATCATAAAAGAAAAAAATATATAAACACTATTTGTGACTATCAACAATTTTATCAACCATATTTAAATCAACAAAAGGTTTGATAAGAAGAAAGTTTGCAAATACGAATTTTGAACTTTTTAGTTGATAAATACATTGACTGGAGAGGATATGGAGTTTTAAACTCAAAGTACAAAATTTGGATAACATGAAATAAAACGAGTCTGCGATTGACGCAGGTGCAATTAGAAAGACATGAAAGATGTTGAACATCGCCCCACCCTTCTTATAACACAATTCTCCGTCGATGATCCAAAACTAAACTAATATACCAACTTAAAAAAAAAGTGGTTAGCAATGCCACATCAGATTTTGTATGAACATTTACTTTTTTCTCAGTGGTACTGATAAATTAAAAATTAACATTAAACAACATGCGAGATGTTATTTATCCGAATAACTGTGTTATTATATTATTAATTACAATCACAAGCACGGTAAAAATTACTTTTATTTAAAAGTCTTAACAAAACTTCCGTTTAATTTGTGGCAAGGATAGATTGATGCTCAAATTTCTACATTAATTCAAGTTAAAAAAAAAACGACGAAATTCTAGATTATATATATATATATTTATTTTTTCAGGCTTGTATCTGTACATGCTGGTTGTGGCGACGTTTACAAGGGAAAACATAAAACTTCGTGTCTATCTTGGAATTGGCTGGGGTAAGTGTTTTTTCATTGGAATAATTTCGACTGTAAAGTGTTTGTTGTACTAGTGATAAAAGTGTAAGGATCTATTTTTCAAAAAATGATTGACTCGTTCATAGCCGATAAAAGGACAGATTACTTCCACAAAATTACCTTGAGGTTCTATCAAGGGTGGGTGAACGAATCACGGAATTTATGAGCCTCTCTTTTTTTTATGACGGACCAGCTTTTAAATTGATTGTGAGCAAAATCTAACCAAGAAATAACACATAGTTTGTTTGAATATATTTTCCAACGCGTGCAGGTTTTTTCGTTCTAAACAATGCATTTATTATTCGAGATGATGCCCCAAAAGTCGAGATGATTTGTATACAAATAATTGGAAAGTATAACTTCAAGTAATTTTGATAGTACCGTTGCAGAATATGATTTGCGTGTGTAGTTTTTGAAGCTTGCTCCTGAGATTTAATAAATTAAAAAAATTACCATGTCAGATATTAAATATATCGATTTTATTGTTTACTTCAAATTCTGGCAGCACATCACAGGCACAATCAAGCAACTATGCATCAATTATGACGTAAAGAAATCATTAGACGTTTATATTTAAGCAAAATAAGAAATAGCTCAGAATTTAGTCATTTTAAACCTTGGTCATGCCTATAAATATATATATATATATAGGCATGACCAAGGTTTAAAATGACTAAATTCTGAGCTNTTAAGACATAATTTTGAAAAAAAATTCTAAATATAAAATATATCAAAATTAATAATTACTGTAAATTCTGATAACAAAGCGCACTCAAACAAGCAAGAAATGAATTTAAAAATATTTTTAGAGTTTTTTCAATTATAATAGAGTCAGACAAATCACGCCCAAATTGAATACAACAATAAAAAAAATAACATAAAGTAGAATCTTGAATTAGGTTTTTGTGATAAAAAATAATATAATATGATTAATGAAATAAATCTAATGTTCAACATAATTTTCGACAATAAACCATACACAAGCAAGAATAAATAAAAATAATCTGAATTCGTTTGAGTGAAAATAAGAGGTAGTTATAGTATAAGGTATTTAAAGTAAAGTACATTTTGTGGTCGTAACTACCTAAATGGACGGTTCAGAGGAAAAACCATGAGGGACTAAAGGTTTAAGTTGAATAGGCAACAAAAAACAAAGTTTCCAGTTTCCTAACATTTAGCTAACAATTTATCTGATGGAATCGCGTTGTTTTACCCGTTTCTAAATAGATATCTTCAAACTGCACCCATCCAGCTATCACATGGCTCAAAATCAGAAAGAATAGACCCCCATCGTTTTGCTCCTGGGCACTCCAAATAATTACAGATTTGTTTTAAGTAAAAATAAAAAAAAAAGCATTTGTAATTTTCCAAACATCAAATATTTGAAAGAGGCCACGCCCAACTAGTGGAGTGAAAGAACTTAGCCACGCCCATGACAAATTGAAGTACCTAGAATAAAGACCCAGTCAGTTTTATGCTATTAGTTAATTTGAAAGCCTTAAATGTTCAATTGTTGTTTCCATCAAATAATTTGACGTGATTAAATTTATTATATCCTGATTAATCTTTTTTCATACTTGGCATGTTTGACAATGTTGAATAAATAAAAAAGAGAACATTTCCAAAAATTTCGTGAGATTTGTTCTCTATCTCTATTTATTTATTTAAACAAAGGTAGAAAATGACCCAAAATAAGCAACATACAAAGAAAATAAGGAGTATAACGAAGGAATAATGCAAAACATAATTTTAACGGATTACTAGTATGCCAAACATCAAATGCTTAAATAAAATCCATAAAACATGGACCTCAACAAACAATTTTTAGTTTGTTTGTTATTTACAATTCATTACAACTACTTTTAATTAGGTAACAAACAACAATTTTATATTAATATGTACCAAAACAAGACAGGAGTGGAGCAACTACTTAAAAGAGACCCCAGTTTTTTCTATTTAATGAAAACTAATGTCACAACTTTTTTTTTCAACAATGGATACCAGGAACTGGAGGACTTCCCTCTGAGCAATGCAGGTGTACAGCTTATTGTACTTTATCTCTGGCTCTATCTTTGGGAGAATGTGCATTTGAACCCCCGGTATGCCGGTGTTCGCCCATCGAAGAAACTATTTTTGAAGGGGGTTGGGACCAAATTCAGAGTCGCTGAGATCTGATCCTGTTCCTCTCATTAATGAGTGCAGTGTCAATTTCTTTCAATGACGGCCACCGTTTTCTTTGATCCACTCGGACACAACTCTGAAAATAGCAAAAAAGAGGGAAGGTTCGAACGGTTGTAGGTTGAGATGGAGAGTTGGTGTCCGAGGGGATCGAAGTCACGATGGCTCAAGTGGTAGAGTAGCGGCGTATTTAGCCGAAGGTCGTGGGTTCGAATCCCGCTCGTGACGCTGACTTTTTTATCTCAACCAATACCTTACAAAATAATAATTAATTGAATTAATAATAATGATAAAATTAAGTTCAGAAATTGCAACTTCTATCTCTACGTAATATCAGAACAGGATAAAAAGAAAATGCGTTTATTTCAACGAAAATGAAACCATTTGTTAACAAAGTATAAAAGAAAAAAGATACAATCCGTCTGCCATTCTATTCAATGATTATTTGGAGGTTGTGCGATGCGGTCTGGTGTGACGTAGGTTTTAGAAAAACATTTTCTTTATCGTACCAACGTTTCAATCTTTATTGAGATCATCTTCAGCGCCTGGGATTTATAGACATGGTTTAATTTTTACAAATATATGTAGGATGAGAAAAAACAAAATTTAAACAATTTTAAATGCCCGTAGGAATTGTTTAACTTTAAAATTAAGTGTGTACGCAAATAGTAATTTTTTCTTGAAGTGCCTTTCCTATAAAACATTGGGAATGTATATTGGTATCCAGGTCAAAAATATTGTTTTTACTAACGAATCATCAGTTTTTTAAAACTAGAATTTATATATAATTCTGCTAATATTAGGTTGGGTGAAACATTGGAACATGTATATTTCTATCAAACCTGCATCGTATCACGTACCTAAATCACGCGTTAATTCGCATGCAGTGGAACAACCATGAATTATTAATTTCCAAGGGATTACCTTTCTCTTTTTCTTCCTCTTTTATACATTCATTTGGATAAAGTACACTTATGGGATTTCCACACTTAACTTACCATTTATTTCTAACAACCCTGGGAATAAGCGGATTCATAAAGAAAGGCGTAACGGTTTAATTAAAGTATGGCAAATGGGTTGATGTGCCCCTCAAAGCATTACAAAACGCCCTGTGCGAGTTTACATCAAAAACACAATTTATTTGGACATTTAGTTGACAGGAAATACCAACGATGGCTAAATAAATTGGGTATGTACGCAATAAACAGGCTTGTTAGTCGATAAAGATCCACCTCTCGTCCGAATTGAATGGTACTGCCATCATCAATTTTTTCATTGTCACCTACGACTTTTCAAAAACCCTTAAATATTGGTGTTATTGCGCAATTGAAATGAAACTTATGTTAAATTTTTTTCAAACAAAACTGTTTAAATTTACAGTAAAGGTTATATAAGTATTGATGTTTTTGTTATTTAGAAAATTAAGGTGATGGTTTAGGAATAAAAAGAAATTTAAGAAGGAAGCCACTTACCTAGCATTTGACAGAACCAAAAGTGTCCTTGCGTTTTTTTTTTTTTTTTTTTTTTTTTTGGCTATGTATATGATTAGCTTATCACACCGGGAACAAATTGCAAAACCCGGACGCAGGCAGAAGGCAGAAAAACGGGCGAGTGGTCGGGCCAGCTTCCAGGGATGTTATTGTTTTTATACCATTAATCAACCTTTATATGTACATAGGAAGATTAGATGCTTACGTCACGCAATACCAAAAGGAAAGTGCGTTAGCTGAACAGCTCGCTGCAAATTCAGTACTAGGGCGGCCGAGGCAGCTCGTAAAACTTTGACTTCGGTGATGAATCAATAAATGAGCGCAGTACTCAAAAGTGGTTCACAAAGTTTGAATAAGTACGTCACCAAACTCAAACCACCATTTTTTGTTGGCGAATATTCGGTTTTCGCTTCAATAGGACAGGGTCATCTGGTGACAGCTTTGTAAGACCTCCTGGTGTTACAGTACAGTTTCTGTTTTATGCAGCATGATACAATCCGGTCAAACAACGTCCCTACTTCGTGACGTTAAATCAATGAAAGTTAAATGTTTAAAGCCTGAAGCTTGTTACCGTCGGTCAATTTAGGAGGAACCCATTTGCTCAGCTTCCACTTCTTCCCAATTCAACGTAAGCTAGAGCAAATTATTTCATCTTTTACATTAAACACTTTGGCAAACTCGTGACGCCTTTGACACGAATCAAGTTGGATAACTTCGTTTAATCCGTCGTCATTCGAGATACAAGATTCACCAGCCTGTGGTTCATCTTCAATCTCCTCATTCCCAGAAACAAACTTTTTTATCCCCTTTTTGACGCTCACTTAAGTTTCATGACTCAATGCAGTGCAAATTTTCCGGGCTGCCTCGGCCGCTAAGTACCGAGCTAAAATTCATTTAATAAGTTTGTACGTACATGGGCTTTGAAGTCGTTCAAAAGAAAATATTTTCTTATTAACTAAATTCATTAGATTTCGTGGTCCGATTGACCAAATGACATCTTTCAATTAATAAATCTTTATGTAAGGTATTGGTTGAGATAAAAAAGTCAGCGTCACGAGCGGGATTCGAACCCACGACCTTCGGCTAAATACGCCGATACTCTACCACTTGAGCTATCGTGACTTCGGGGTTGAGATGGGAAGTCAGTGTCTGAGTGGATCGAAGTCCCACCTGAACCCCGAAGTCACGATAGCTCAAGTGGTAGAGTATCGGCGTATTTAGCCGAAGGTCGTGGGTTCGAATCCCGCTCGTGACGCTGACTTTTTTATCTCAATCAATACCTTACATAAAGATTAATTAATTTCTTATTAATAA